AGTTTATTTCAATTCTATGCTAAATACGATTCTATATTGCTGGAAGATCAAAGAACTATAAGATAGAGTTACTGTTCTCTTTCGAGCTTTATCCAACTTTCAATTCAACAGGATGCAGTGAGGTGGAAAAGGTTTAACGATTTGTTACACTATATTGAATGTGATATGCATCATCCATTTTTAACGTCCATCTGATTCTATGTTGCTGGAGAGAAAATAGATAATTGCCACTGTCAACAAAATTATGTACGGTAGGGTGACAAAGGTTTACATATTTCATTTAATCTAGAAGGCTGCATAATCTTCAGAAGAACAATTTTCAAGGAAAATGTTATTAGTGTTAAGGTTCTCTGTTTACACTAGGAAGGGGTACACGAAAGTAACGAAACTCTAAACTATCTGAGAGCAAACTGTGGCAAATTCCAGCGAAGCAAATAGGTGTAAAACTTTAAAAAGTTTCTCAGAAAACAATATCATAACATGATGTAAAGTAGAGAAAAATGTTTTTTCGTCTTGTCACAAGCGCGAGACAAAGAAAAAATTCTGAGTCCCCTTGAGGAATCGAAGTAGGAATTAAAGTAGTTTTAAGTAATATAAATAGTGGTCTGCAATTAACAGCAGAACTACATGTGCTGTGAATACTTTTGTGAGTGCAAACTCCTGCATTCCCGATAGTGCTTCTTGTTTAAAAAGACTAACGCGTAGAAAACCACCAATGGCGACGTGGTCTATAGTAACCTGCAACATCGGAATTGTAGGGCTTTTTATTGCAATTGCTACCATCATAAATCCAGCTCTATGAAATACTGAGGATATTGCAGGGTAATAAATCATTTAAGTAGACCATTGTGCTTAAAGTGGTGTTAATACCAATTGTAAATATTGCGCTGCAACTACCATTTTATTTTCACTTTTCTCAGAAGGTTTTTGGGCTTCAATACAATTAAAAAGAGACTTCGAACACTAAATAAACGATTATCATCTAAGTTTTTTCTCATCAAATTTTACGTCATCTGTGATATATTACAGAACAGACACATGGCGTGCATCAATAACATTACATGTGCGGTTGCACTTTGCTACAAAGTTAACTTGATCATATGGAAATGTAAATGTGTTGTTACTGTAGTTATTTATCAGTGTTAAAACGTGCAGATGAATATCAAAGGGTCTAAAAAAACGAGCTGAGCTAGACAGTTCTCATTTTGCAATATTCTGGAGTTTGTTGGTGTTTCTCTTCTTACCTTTACCTGGTCTGACCGATTGACAGAAGGGATATATTGACCGAAATTGCAGGAAATACAGAGGTATCCCCTTCCCTTTTTAAAATTATCAAGAGCCCCTGCGATATTCATAGAGTAAATTAGATGTTTTCGGTGTCTTCATCTATTTGTGGTTCATTAATACATTTTTAGTGTTCCTCGAACGAGGTCAGTTGATCCTAAGGCGAGAGCTGCTCCACGACTTGTCGGAAGCACTTCCTCAAAAAAGGCTTCTTACAGTCCTAGCAAAATATTCAGGATCCTTTTTCCAACTCGTTGCAAATGTACAGGAAAGCTGTTGTACTAATCTTTTGAAATAAATTAACCTCGTTTAATCGCTTAACTTGTCGGGCTTTGTAAACATAATAAGGAATTGTGTATATCTCTGGTTCATTGAAGCGGGGAAATCATTAGTCATATAATCTGAGAAATCAGGTCTGATTTTCATATCTGAATGTTGCTCTTAAACGATTTTCTTAAAAACAAGGGTAGTTAAAAAGACACAAGTTACGTCGCTGAAGTGTTTTCGCCGTCTGCAGACACAATAAAATTTTTTTATCTCTAAAACATTACTGATCTAGCGTTGAAGCTATGACAACAGAGACAGAACAAAAAACGGAAACACTCCAACCAAAGTTGTTGAGCTACTCAGTTCTCTCTATATTGGCTTTGGAGGCAGACCTTTTTTCTTTAGACTGCTGTGCAATTAAAAGACAATCATTTGACATTTACTTGTCATTTCTGCATGAAAGCGTCAATAAAGACTTGATAAAGTCAGAAGTTTGCAAGGAAAGCACTTGACAAACCATTTAATTCTAACTAAAATAAATCAAGTCAATATCATTTGTGGGATTCTGACACGAGGTCCACATGTTTACTGTTCAGGACTTTAGATATACCAAATGGCTTAGACTCCTTTAAGAAACCGGTAAAAGATCTTTGTCTTCATTTCCACTTGATTGGCGGCAAGATTTATTGATGGAAAGGTCATTTGGACCATTCTGCAGCTATACGAGCCCTCACTACTACCCAGCCGCGCTAAGATTTCCAAAAGCTGTGTACATCGTTGCTTGTGTTCTTAGCACGATCACTTTACTTGCATTAATAGTTGGAAACTTTTTAATTCTTTTGGCTCTTCGCAAATGCCAGTCTCTACATTCTCCATCAAAAGTTCTGTTATGTAGTTTAGCTTTGACGGAGCTCTTTGTTGGAGTGGTAGTTCTTCCGCTCTTCGTAGTATACTATACGATGATCATTTTAGAAAAACCCAGATATTACTGTACTGTGGCCATCACATATGCCAGGATATCGACCTTCATTGGTGTTGTTTCGCTCGAGAACATAGCCACCGTCGCCATTGATCGATATCTCGCTCTGCGTCTCCGGCTGAGATACAGACAAGTCGTGAAATTTGGACGGGTTGTTTTTATTTTAGTTTTAGAGTGGATCATCGCCGCAATCTGTGCAGGTTCCTGGTTTCTAAATGGATCCATCAATTTATTGTCTGGTACAATTGCCATGCATATAATCTGTCTCATCATATCTTTTTGCTATTTTTAGTATCAATCACGGCATCAGGCTTCACGTTGCGCAAATTCATCATCCGACAAATTAAACTCCAATGGACCAGGGACTGACTTCAATGTGGTTAAATACAAAAAAACTTTGAGCAATTCATTGTGGATCTTTTGGCTCTTTCTTTTGTGCTACATGCCATCTTTGTTATCATCCCTTGCAGTAGTTGTCACCGGACTTAATGATTCTACTCGTTTTGCATGGCAGTTTGTGGCCACAACAGTCTATATCAATTCTGTTTTAAATCCGATTCTTTATTGCTGGAAGATCAAAGAACTAAAAGTTAAAGTTATTGCTCTTTTAAAGGTCGCATGCAATCTTCGATCAAATGATATGTAGCAGGGTGGCAGAGACTAGAACAGTGTCATATTTCATCACCGGTTTGTTCATGAAGATTTCAACAATTAAATGGCATTTACTCAAAAAAGTTTCCTTTTGTGTGCTTGTCAAGTTAAAAAATTTCGTTGTTTACTTCAGCTTCGTGCTAAAAATTTAATAACGTCTTTCAAACAAGGGAACACGCCGGAAAATTTGACAGGTGATTCCGTTCGTTTTCTTTGACTTAAACAGCGTCAAAATCAAGTTGAAAGCCGAGTAACAAATTGATGTAGTTTTGGATTACCATAAAAATCGACTGGCAGTTTCTTTTTGATCACCTGTCAAATGCAATTAGTTAAATTCTTCGAAAATCTTACCCACCTTCACCCCCTCTCGACTTTTCTCTGATAAATAAATTGAATTTTTGATAATTTTGTCAATGTCAGACTACACAAGATTCGGTATCAGGGTTTTCATTGCTTTTAAAGGATGCTTTCACCTCACTATAGCGGTGAAAAAAAAGGACCTTTTAAGTGTTGACAGGATGAAATTGGTTTCATCATAACAAAAAAAAGGTAGACGCACTGATCTTAAAATGAGATAATACAACCACCATTTCAATTTTTTTCGCCTGCATTCATAAAATACGTAAATCAGTTCCATTGAAAAAGGAATAAAGCAGGAGTTTGCTACACAATAAGAGACATCTTTTCAATGGACAGTATTTCATCTACTGATAGGCAATGTCAATCATTTATTGCTGTCCTGCGACAGGCACTGCAAGCGGTTCGCAATTTCAGTCGTTCAAGTCAAATATTGAAGCAGCAGAACCATTTAAATCTGAAATGAAAAAACTGAATTTTGGAGCTAGCAAAGAGGTAATTAGAAATATTTCTGGCTGTGGAAGCCCCTAGGTTGATATTGATAATATTAGTTTCGTAAGGTGATCAAGATGTGTCTGGCTTCTTTCTCGCATCAGCAGAATGTTAGCATTTCTCTTCATAATCAAGTTACCCAGTGTGATAGCTGTTCAACAATATCAGCAGTACTATACGGCTAAACTACTCTGATGTATCTAATCAATTCTGTATAAGGACATATCTCCCAGTGAGAAACTTAATGATATTCTGCAGTAGTCGTGAAAGAAATCTTAAAACACCAAAACCAATTAAAATGCGTACTGATTTGCTTGATTTTTTAAAATTTAAATCAAAGCTTTACTCAAATATAATTTTGACAAAGCTTTTATCCCTAAGCATCTACGTCTTTGTAGTTGTGTTATTAAACTTCAATTGACATATTTTAATATTCTTCCACCTGTATATTCAAAAAAGCCTATTGTGTATAGCCATCTGTTGGCAATACTCCCCAGGAATTAAGAGTAGAAAATATAACAACCTTTTTCACTCTTCATATTCATACGCGTACAAAAAAAGTACGTCTGCAACACGACATCCCGCTTTACTAACAGAACAAAGAAACCTGTGAACTTGACGGAACTAAAAGGTTATGAATTCACAATATTTGTATTCTTTATCGTCAACAACTGACAACTCTTTACTACGCGACAGATGTTTTCGTTAACAATCACTCGCAGTAGGAATCAAGTGCAGAAATCTCACAGAAGTATCATCTAAGTATGCCTATCAAAGATTTGAAACAGCGCATGCAAGAAAGGCCGGCCTCAATTTCTGCTCATTAGATTCACAGATTGTTACCTTCCAGTCTAAATTTATCGTTATAAAAGGAATTCACCTTATCACGAGTGCCCTAGATCTATATTGATCAGGCTTTCGATCGATCGTCTGGCGAAAGGAAATACTTTACACCGATCTCTGCCTATAAATGGAGGGGACCTTTCAAACATATTGTAGTCCCACAAGCAACTATTATTATCCTGCAGCTAAAAATTTCCCAAAAACTGTCTACATTTTTGCCTGTGTTGTCATCATCATCTTCTCCATTTTGTCAACAGTCGGCAATATTGTAATTCTACTCGCTCTTCGCAAGTGCCAGTCTTTACATCCTCCGTCAAAAGCCCTGTTGTGCAGTTTAGCTCTGACGGATCTTTTCGTTGGATTGGTCGTTCTTCCATTGTTTACAGCTGACTACATGACGGTTATTTTCGAAATACCAGAGTATTACTGCGCTTTAGCTATTACATATGGGCGAACATCAACCTTTATTGGTGCCGTTTCGCTTGAGGTTATAACCACAATTGCCATTGACCGATATCTCGCCTTCCGTCTTCGATTAAGCTACAGACAAGTAATGAAACTTAGACGAGTTGTTTTCATTCTTGCTTTTGAGTGGATCCTCGCAGCAATTTGGACGGCAAGTTGGTTTTTGAGTGTATCGTTCAATATGTTTTTCGGGGCAATCGGAATGTTCGGTTGTTGTTTCACTACATCACTTTGCTATCTAAGGATTTATTGTGGTTTTCGTCAACATACTGCACAAATTCGACAACAGACAGACCCCGAGCCCGCAATCGATCTAAACATGGCTCAATACAAGAAAACTGTAAATAACATGTTGTGGATTTATGGCGTAGTTATCCTGTGCTACACACCACACTTTGCTTGCCTGCTCGCAATATTTATTTCTGGAATCAATGAATCAAACCGTTTTGCACTTCATTTAAGCGCGATTGCAATATATTTCAATTCTTCTCTAAATCCCATTCTGTATTGCTGGAAAATCAAAGAAATTAGATTCAAAATTATCGCTATTTTACTTCCTCTATTCAATTATTTCAGTGCATTTGGTGGGTAGGTAACTGAAACATAATTTGGTATAGAACCACATATTTATCTTATGATGCCAGAGACGTCAACGATGAACTTAGTTTAGGAAAACTTGTCTTCCAGCGCGATAGAAAAAGACTTATAATAAGCTTCAATTACTATGCAGTTTTTAACCTTTTGATGAATAACTGGCAAGTGTAAAAATGTTCATTGACACCTATATGATTTTTACTTCAACTTACTAATATTGCAAACTGTTCAATGCAGTCTGGCAAACGTCTCCCACAAAGTGGCGCACAGCACATTAGAGCATATTCATATGGAGAATGCGCTACATGAATACATCATAATCTTTATCATTTACTCCATTTACCGACACCTGAAGTGTTGTTGGTCATCCACCGAGTGAGATGTAGAGAGGCATAATCTTTGTCCTTCCATAATGGCATAACATAAAGAAATAAAAGACCTGAAATGAATGAATTAGACAAGGTTCCTTTACACAACCCAAAGCAAATCGAAGCAATATAAGAAAATTTACCAATATTGTTTAAGTTCTCTAGTGTCGAAGTTAAAAAATTTTGGCACCACGCATTGTTTAAATGACTAAATTTACACGGCTTGCCCAAATATGGTTACACTAGACAATTCAATTATAAAACTTTCCACTAATTGTGCTGGAAAGTGACAGTTGAAGCCCCCTCCCGTGATCAAATGTTAAATCGCTATCCCATTCCGTGTATTTATGTGATTCAGTAAAGGAATGCACAATGCGACGGGGCATTGGACAGAAACTCTTTATTACGACATTGAGTGGCTTCTCATAGTAACTTGCGAAGATATGTTCAAAATTAAAAACGATAAGAACAATTTGCAAGCTGTGTTTAATATCGTGTCCGCTTCTTCACGTTTTTGAAGTGTTCTTCTGAGAAAATTGCACTTTGTCTAAATGACGTAAAGGATTTGAGAAAAATTATGACGAAAATCAAATGAAATCATCAAGTCTCTTTACTTAACGAGCGTAAACTTTGTTTATATAACATAGGCTGACAAATTGGCCAGTAATGAGGATCACATCATCCTTGGAAGCGGCGTTAAGTGGTGAAAAATTATCGTGCGTACGCGCTTTTTAATACCCAAGTCCTAGAGCACGTTAGTTGTAATATGTACGCAGGTGCATCGATTTTCTCCCAACCTCGCTGGTCTATCTTTTCGTTGAAAACAAAAGTTTATAAAACTTGAAGCAGACAGGTGATAGAAAATGCAGGATAAAAGTCTTCGGCTAAAAAAACCTGCTAAGACTCGCTATGTAAACTAATTTCAGTCAGCAATTTTTCAATGAAATACCGCACGTAAAGGCTAATTTTCCTGTTGAATATCAAATAATAAAGAAAGCCTTTTCAATGAAACACTTCTTGACGAGGATGAAAGAGAGAAAACGCGGTATCTATGCGACCCAAAGAAACTGAGGTAGTCCTTTCCCATAAAAACGGCGATGTCCAAATTAATCTATAGTAAAAAAAACTTTTATACTCACTTTTGATGTTATGCAAACAGACTTTAAGATACTTAAAGATCTCATTAAGATTTGATTAGTCTTGGTTAAATAAACATTTAATAACCTGCAAAATACCCTTCACCAACGACTGAGGAATTTGTTGTACATCCGAACGTTTCTTCATGGATAAACTCCCAATGTCCCCGCAAATGAAGGAAATTTTACTTTCTCTAAAGAAGACTCGTTTTAAGCAAGGAACGTTTCAAGATAGCGAAAGAAACCGTGTAAGAAGCTTCAAAGAGGATGAAAAATACCTGAGCATTTCTCTCTCCAAGGAAAGTTTCCAAAATGGCAAAATATTTCTAGGCAATTCGAGGGAAAAAGAGGAATACATTCAAAGGGAAAGTTGCACTTCATCACGTGGAGCTGTCTTTCAGCGAAGAGGATCTTGGATTGTTCCGAAACATATTCTGTCACGGAGTAACACAGTCGCTGTCTTACCACTGCAGAAACCTGGCGCGACACGCTGTTCACCGACAAGCTTTGAAGAAAGTGACGAAGTTCTAAGACCCGAGACTAATTGGTTATTAGAAATACATTCGGCAGACAAAGTGAAAGGAAATTTTGAAAAACGATTGAAACCCACGAGTGCGTCAGTCACGAAGAAACCGTCTTCTTCAGATTTGTTCCAAAGACATTCGCTTGGTCAAACAAAAACATGGCGGGTTGAAGGCAAGGCTTTTAGTGCAGTTCTCAAGAGAGGAGCAACTCACCCAAAGATTGAGAATATGTGGGAGCATCTGGCAGACCAGAGAAAACTCCTTATCAATAAGTGGCTTTCCCCTCAGAACCGCTGATTTTACGAATTTTTACCCTGGTAGCGACAACTTCGGTTGTCGGAAGTAAAAATAAATCTGAGAAATGTTGACATGACTAGGAAAGTCCAGCAACGGAGTGAATGCCTCTTTGCCGATATCAAATGTTACTGGGCAAAACATTGATCCGTTTAAATGATTTATTTTCTCATCACTCTGCCTCTTAAAACGATCAGCAACGATCTTCAGAATGCTTAATCATCGTTTATCGATTTCTTGGATTTCCAAACATACGTTTATTCTTCCCCTATTCTCTTGGCAAAGTTTTCATTTTCTATTGTGTAAGTTAATATGTACTTCTGATACATGATAAGGTCTGGATTATGCTCAGCATGGTAGCAATCATTGTCAAGGCCGAGGCTCATGATATCTACCGAAGTCAAACGACGACGACCGTGGCCCAGATAGCTCTCGCGAAAACAATTTGCTATTCAATCTACTCGTTGTTTCATTGTGAATGACTCCAAACTGTAGTTAATACGCATGACTTTCCTCTTAAATATATAAAAATCATTATCATTTGATGCTTTTGTCTACATTTAAATTGACCGAGACCCAACCACGTGACTTACATGTAGCAACGTAATAGCTGACCAAGAAAACATGTTGTGGCTTTGAAATATTCAACTCTCTCCGCTCGAGAACGCACTCAAATAGCTAGAGATGTAACATTAATCAACTGCTGGATGGTCACCTTGTCTGTGTCATAAAATCTAAAGCTTGAGAAAATCCAAAACTATCATTTTTGGTGTTCCTCAATCTCCGATAAGGATGCGTACTTGTCATTACAATGTTTAGGTAGTGAAAATGTTCACAACTGCATAAAAACCCCGTTGCATCTTACCTCCGATCAACGATGTTCTTTCAAATTATAACTTCTCTTCAAACTCTAAATTTAGCAGCGGAAACATCAGCAAACTTCTTGGAAACTTCGTTAAAAGTAAATACCTCAAAAGATTGATGTAGCACCACGATGGGAAACGAACGACCATGACGGCAACACCACTCACTTTCCACATTTTGCAGCCGCTGAAAGTTAGGCAATGGTCATACGTTTGCCGCCAAAAAGAGAAAACAAAAACAACAACAAAAACAAGCGAAAAATACCGCGTTGACACAAACGTTTTTCTTGTTCCGGCTCGATGTCGGCCCTGTCTATGTCTTGTTTCTCGAGAAGCAGCACTTTATTTTCGTGTTTAGTTTCAAGATGCAGGTAGTTGTAATTTTAAAATCCAATCATTCGTAGAATGTCAGGATATGACGTTACGGGTATGGTTTCTGAGCTGAAAGGAATTGAGATTTTGCCAGCGTTCTCATCAAACCAAGATCCTTAGCTGCTCTTAGGAAAAGGAAAAAATATATTATTTTAACACATCTTTGTTTCAATAATTTTGAACATTCTAGGATCCTCCAAATGCAAGTCTCATTCCTAAAAATTTTGAAAACAGTTAGACCTTGATATCAAGTAGGCCATTAAAAATTTTTACCTGAAGATCAAAAAGATATTTTTCTCGTTTCTTTCGACTTCTTTGAGGTGTAATGTTTAATTTATTAAAATTTCGATTTTAAGGGGATCGTGCAAGCCACAAGGTAAGTTGTTGAATTTTCCTCATAATCTTGAAGAAAGGAAAAAACAGTTGCCGTTCCGATGGACTTCTATTCGATGTCACAGGCGTCTTCTCCATTTTTATCTCAGTGTGGCGATTAAATCGGTCACTGTCTGTTGTCTTTGAAAAGGAGTTCGGCCCTTGCATAAATGATTGCGGCAGTAGTAACTTCTTGTAGGAAGACTGTGAGAGAGGACAAGGCAAATTGTGCGCTTTGTCATTATTAACTCGCTTTTCTTCTCCTCTGACCTTCAGGGCCAACACATAGAGGACTGGGTACTAATTAGTGAGAGCTCTTAGTTACCATTCAGTCAATATACATGCACTTCAAGTATTCCGAAGTACGTGTGTTCCGAAGTATGACTAAGAACTTTATGTGTTCTGTCTTTCCGTTTTTCTTCGCGGAAAATGTAGGGTTTGTAGACATATGATTGAAGTATGCAGGACTGATGTCTCGGAGAACGTGGGGGAAGGCGAAGTAACGTTCGAGATCTATGAGATCACCCTAAACTTTTTCGGTTCTCTTTGATGAGGTATGTTCCCTTCAACATAGTACAACAATATATGTATAGGTTATAGTTGTTACAGGATTGATTCATTTATTGCACAGCTTAAGTACTCTATACTCTCAAGATAAAAGCCAGTTTGGAAAAATTAAGTGAAAATGGCTTTGGTAGACACGGAATAATATTGGAAAAAAGGGTACGGTAACGTTAGACTGTCACGTAATATATTGGCTGTTCGATAGATCAAAGATTACCTTACTTTTGTAACATCTGCTAGATGATATAGTATGAGCAGTACGTGATTTTAAAATATCTTATCAAGTATTCAACAAGGTCATTCATTACTGATTTATCAAAATCGTTACACTGTTATTGCAGAAATAGACGACTTCTAACCTTGTTTACATGGCATGATCGAAACAGTTGAAACACTGGGGGGGGGTTGGGAGAATTTTGACACAACTAAAGCAAACTCAACAAGCAGTGCAGTGTACAGGAGCATGCATTTTATTTCAGTAATTTTGTTATTAAGCAGTAGTGGACTTTTTTATGTGTTTTTATGTCCAGTCAGTTTAACACAAGAGTGAGTGAGTGTTTAAACGAGGCTACGTGTAAACACGGTGAAGTCCTCCAATGCTGCAATTTAGTATTCCTCAAAAGTACATGCTAATGTAATCTAATCATTCTCATCTTATTTTTTTGGTTCTTACCAATGAGATTGTGCAAAGAGTCTCACTTTACTAAAACTGTTGCGAAACACATAAAGAGGTTTTTTTAAAATTTCATGTAGATGCTGCAACATAGGGGCATGTCAAGACATTAAGTTTTGGAATTTAAGACCTACTAAGTTCAAACGTCGATCTTTACATGTACCGAACCTAATTGCAATTTGGGTCGACTCGAATAATTAAGAGCGGCAGTTGATTTAAACGTCTATACAAATCTGCCGATCCTAATTGATTCAAACGTCGATCGGCTAAACTTCAGAATACCCCGCAACTCATTTACATGTGTCGGGAGGCTCTGAAGATCGAGGCATAACACAATAGACGCTATTCTTATTCAATGACATGTAAATAAGTTGCGGGGTATTCTGAAGTTGCTCCCGTCGATCTTTACATGTACTTAATAGAAACGTTAGGTTCGGTACATGTAAAGATCGACGTTTGAACTAGGCCTAAGCCTTTATTTGTGACTATCCTTTTCATTTTAGGTCTATTCGTAAAATTAGTAAATTACCAAATCACCTACATTAATTGTTGGTCAAGTTCACTTGTTATATGTGAATAAGCTGGTGGTGATGCAAGCTGCTCAAGATAGCCCTGCTGTTAAAAACAGAAAAAGACGAGTTAGTACTGCTCATGCACGACGCCGAGCAAAAGTTTACTCGAATGCAGTTAAAAAGGAAGTGCTAGAAGAGCAAATTGCAGATGAATTAAGGAGTTCTCATGAGTCTGGTCTGGCCAGTGGATCTACAGCTTTCTTGAAAGGATTGTTGTCTGAGACTGATAGTCTTCCAAAGCGTATATCTGAACGATATCAAATACAGAGAGAAGTAAGTGGGAGATGATTAGGTCTTTGGAAACAAGCAGAGAACCTATCCCTCTTTCTTTTGCTTGTTGAGCAAAAATGTCCTGAAAATTTTGATTACTTGAGAAGTGAGACCCTTGAAATTTCCATTAGAAAGAGACATCATTTGGTGCATGCAATCATATGCAAGTAAAAGGAACCTGCCTATCATTGCTTGCTCTTAGTTTTGAGCTTTGCACACATTTTGGTTGTATCCTCGTGTACCGGTACACAAAAGAAGGAAACATTAACGAACTGCGTCATAACTCCATGTATGGTTATGAAAACAATAGGAATTCCCTCGTGTACCGGTACACCAGGACAGCCCCCACATTTTGCTTGTCTCTAGTTTGTCCTTTGTAGCTATTTAACTGACTGAGAAGTCTTGTGTGAATGGTGATTATGGTATTGATTTTTTTATAATGTATACTTTTACTTATATGAACTAATATATATTGCTAATGTGGCAGAAAACTTTGCAAGTATCACATGTAATTTTGCAAATTTTTTTTGGGCTTTTATTTTATCGCAATCATTTACACAATCGCCTTTCAATGCAAACTTGAGAGTATGTATATCTCTTGATGATCAGGATAGTATTGAATGTGATGGGGATGAAAACACAAGATGTCCTTTATATGAGTATATTGTTACCTATCATTACCTTTATCATCATCTTTATAAATAATGTACATTAATTTACAGAACAGTGATTGGATTTACAAGACATTCAAAAGGAAGGAATGTATCCATCATGTTGAGGACAAAGCAAAGCCTGGATTGTGAGTCACAATATATAGCTTGCTAATACACTATCTATTACAGAGACTGTTTATTTCTTCATTTGTCCAATACATTTCTTTAAATATTCTTTTTCTTTATAATTTCACTAGCCTAGTGTGTCTAATATATGTGTGGTACTCATTATGTCATATTCTAGATGCTGTTGTGGTCGCCCTGAAAATCAGCATAGCAAGTTGACCACTGTTCAAGAAGAAAATGAAGAGCTTGAGATAGCTCATGATGTAGCTGAAGATAGTGACTGTTCTAGTGACAGTCAGCCTGAGGGTGAGTGTTAAATACAAAAGAAAGGGTCCAGTACACCAAGAGTGAAGGTTTCTGTACAAATTTTTTGTTTTATATGGTTAGAATTTTTTTATCTGCACACTCAGGTCTTGGGGTTCAAGAGTGCACCATTTACGTAGTAAGGGATATGAAAGATTGGATGGTAGACCATTCAGACTGGTTAGGGTAAAAAAATGTTTTGAAGTTGCCCTTTTTCTGGATATGTAATTTAAAGAAATATTTATTAGTTAGATGCCAAATAATAATGGTTTTATAGGCCAGGGAATATGAGACTGTGTATAAAAGTTTTGCGCATTGGTGTCAGATTCTGTTTTAAAAACTGGACTTGGTGATTTTTGGGTGTGGAGGTTGTTATCCTTTTAGAACTTGGCTAATTTAAAATCTTTGTTACAAAATAGTGTGAAAGAAGAGTTAATTCTCTTCGTTATTATGTGGGCTTGATTGGCATCTCCTGTTTCATTTTTTTGTATTTTATGGTGCAGTTAAAGATGAAATAAGAGTTGCTTAGTAATATAAGTCAGAATGAAAATGATTAATATGAGATTTTTGAGCTCTTAATTCTTGACTATCTTGTAATCATGGAGCTGGTGATGTTGTGTTAACAGGTTTGCCACCATCGACGAAAACCAGTAGATGTGAAGGGAAAGTTTATGGAATAAAGACAGGACCTGAAAACTGGTCACCAAAAGATGACATAAAAGAGTTTCCAACAAATGGCTTTGGTCAGATAAAGTTTGTAAATGCATACAGTTCATCTTTGACCCCTGCCAAGGTTTGATTTGTAATGTATTACTATGATTATTTCATCTGTTAAATAGTTAGTATTGATTATGATAATTGTTATAGAGTACTTATAAATATAAATTATACCATACAGGTGAATGGAACTTTTTGCATGTGGTGATTGGTTGGTGCGGAAGGGATTAGCAAGTGCTATTCATTGTCAAGCAATGCATGTTAAGAGTTTAATTCTGACTGTTTCTTGGTATAGTTTCAGAATAATTTTTGGTTTCTGTGATATAGACTAACACAATTATTTACCCTGCGGTCAGTGAAAGTGGTGAATATTTACCTCACTGCTTTACCTATCTGGTAGTCAATATTAACCACTATTGATCATCTTCACTTTGGAGAAGGATTGTTAATGAGTATATGGTTGAAAGATTAATAGGCCTTGAGGATCTGTTCAACTAGGCTTTGTCAGCAACAATCACAACTGACAATGATATTTGTCAGGGTGGCTGTTGATTATTTTCATGTATGTTTATTCCTGGTGATTTATTATTAAACTGTGGATGAAATACATTCAGAGAGTTTCTGATTTGGATTCTTTATTGATAAATTTTCATAGGTTCCTTATGGTATTTAGAGATAATTTCACACTTGGTTAAATTGATCTTGAAATATGTTTGAATCATTATTTTGTTTTGAATTTATTCCTACTGAATTTATGACTTGACAGCTGGTACATGTTCTTTTTCTAAATTGTAGTACATACGTCTAGCAGACAACACAAGGCCAGAGTTGACATTAGAGCTTATGGTGCGACAGTGGAAGTTACAGAAGCCAGACATTGTAATATCAGTACATGGAGGTCTGAAAAATTTCAAGCTTGATCCTCACCATAAAGAGATCTTCAATAGAGGCCTCATTAAGGCAGCTAAGACAACTCACAGTGGTGCTTGGATAATAACTGGTAAAATTAACAGCCTGTTAAATCTGTTGTATCACACATATTTTATTATATTTGGACTAGAATTATTTAAGACTTTCTCTTTGTTAATCATGTCTTTGAATGGTTATTTTCTTATGGATATGGTATTATTTAGGTGTATCTCTGACTAGAACTAAACCTATCAACAAGTTATTGTAATTTCAAGTGAAGTTTAATGTGATTGATTTTTTTTTCCAAATACATCAAGAATTACTTTAATATTTCTAAAAATGACATGGATTATTAAATTTAAAAAACTGGTGTCTTAATGGCCATTTGCAACTGCTAATGCTGGATAATGTGTCAGGCAAAATTTATTGTAGAAACTTCCGAGTGTACAGCTTAAACTCAATATAAAATTATACAAACTGCCTGAAGCATGGGATGGTGAAAGTGAACAAGTTATTTTTGGTTTCAGTTTTGGATCTGATTCGTTGGGAAAGTAGAGCAAGTTTCTTGATCATTTATAGGGGAGGATACTTTTGAACAAATGCAATATGGCATTTCTTTTACCTTTCAATTGGAAGTTGCCCTTCAATCGTAGCTTTCATCTGTTACTGGTTGTGCTCATGCAGGTGGTGTAAATCTTGGTGTGATGAGGGCTGTAGGTCAAGCTGTGCAGGAGGGTCAGTCCATGCATTGGGGAGGGTTATCAAGTCGCCGGCGCATCAGATGCATAGGTATTGCGACATGGGGATATATAGAGAGAAATGAGCACTTGATTAGCCCACTGGAGGGCAAGGTGAGGAAAAAGAATACCTGTCTGCAGTAAGATTTCAGAAAGATGGAGCTCTGATGGCAAAGTGGAAAATTAATCAGATCTACCATGATCTCAAAATAGACTTTAGAGTTGTTAGTTTTGCTTCTTTGAAGAAAACTTTTGTTTTGTTACATATCAAAGTTCAAACAAAATCTATTTGCAGAAAAGTGTTTTAAAGTTTGTTTTTCACAAAATAGTACTCAGCTTGGGAAACTTTCTATGTCTTGTTCTTGCTTAGGATTGGTTTTGCTTTTCTAAAAATATATGCACTCTCTGTAAACTTGGTAAATTTCAGCAGTTTGTTGCCAAAGGCAGCAATCCAAAGTGTTAAAATTGTATGACCTTTTTCTCTTTTCTAGGGATGCTATCCAGCAACTTACAGGGTAGAGCATTCATTTGAGCGAGGGAAACCTGTGTCCCTCAATCCAGATCACAGCCATTTTCTTTTGGTGGATGATGGTACACAGGGGCAAGCAGGAGCTAAAGAAGTTCAATTTAGGACACGGCTGGAGAGAGTCATTGCCAACAAACCTAATATTCAGAGACAAAGTGAGTTGACTTTGAGAAGTGAATTCAGGTGTTAGATGTAAATTCCTTACATCTCCTTTGTAGTATGTTTCTCTTTGTAAAATCTTACTTGTTTTTAAATTAAGTTTTTAACATGAAAACCATTGGCTAGTCTAGACTTATTTGTAGGGCTTTGGTTGTAGGGGTGCTATACTTCCTACAATGAAACAATGTTTAATTACTGATAGCATAATAATTCATTGTCTCTGGCCAGACTTACATTGAAATGGAACAAGACATACTTGGCTGGGATCTTGTTATTTTGAACTTTTGTTGGAAGTAGCTTTACTGGGGCAGTAGTTTTAATTTACAAGCAGTGATTGAAATAATCACAAAATTGGGAAAAGCATTAACTATGCTTGAAATGCATAGAAAATCTCCTGAATATTATCATGGACTTTCAATGGTCTCCTAAGGGTTTGGAAGAGATTGTTAATAGAATTCAAAAAGATATTTTAAAAGAAAGACTCAGTCCTCTGGCTATACAATCAAAAATGAACTTGCCAAATAAATTCCCTGATCATTAGGGAAACTGGCAATTAAATTATTTTTAGGAATTAAACAAACATTAGATATTAAAAGACATGATCTCGCTACCTGAAGATCTTGGTTTTAGCTAAGAAGGATATGAATAGTCTTTAAATGTTTTTAAATTGACTTTTCATCCTGAACACTTTTCCACATGATTTATTCATTGTAGAGTTTGGGTTTGGGGTTCCTGTGGTGACAGTGATTGTTGAAGGAGGAGAGGATGCACTGAAGGCTGTCAAAGCATCTGTGAAGCATGGCATTCCAGCAGTTGTGGTGGAAGGAACCAAGAGAGCTGCTGATATCTTGGCTTTTGCACATCACAACTGTGTCCCTGGGTAGGTTTATTTATTTACTTTTTGATATTATTTATTAGAAGAGAGTTTGACCCGTCATTTCAGATTTCTAATGCAAGTATTCTTAATTGAGTTAAAGAGAATAAACTTGACCCATAGAAAAGTTTTTCAGTGATCAAGAGTCTTGCTGGTTCAGTTTTACTTAATTGCTGCAAAACTGTCCTGCTGTCATATGTGTTGAAAGAAAATGAGTTCCATTTTATGAAAACCTTTGAAAGTCTATTGATCAGTGATTAAAGAATATGGGGAAAGGATTGCAGAGGTGGCTGTTTTAGTCGTGAGCCAAGATGTTGGAAGAGATGTTGTCAAGTTGTGTTGAATCGTTTCTTGGCCAGCTAGGGTATGTGTATTTTGGTTCTAATTTACCAAAAAGGAAAAGAGATCTCGACTTGACTAATACCTCACATGATCAGAAATAAGTTAATAATTCTAAGAACAAGCAGTATGAAGAGTGGCCTGACAATAAAAAGGGAATTTTGTTTTAGCATAACTTTCCTGAATCTGATTACAGAACAGTGCGCCAAGTAAAGAAAGATCAGCTACCTCGTCTCACTGCAAAAATCCGGGAATCTTTTCCAAAGTTTGCAGGCGATGAAAGTTATGTCCAGAAAATTGTAGACATTGTTAACAGTTGTGTTTATGATGAGCATCTGGTAAGTTGTTTCTTCCAATGATAGTCCATTATCAACTTGCACTAGGGCGAGTGTTTGATAATTTTTCCTTTCAATTTTCCAAGAAGGGTTGACAATTTTCAAAATTTTTGCTTGACAGGTTTTCAAATTTTCCAAAACCAATTTCACAGAACTTTTCAAATTTCCCTTACTGATTTGACTTTAATTGAAATTTTTGTAGTAATCTGCTAATGAAGAGCATCAAGAAGTGATGATCAGCATTGTGCGCATTCACTTCTGCTTAAGTTTCCAACATCTATTGTGCTTTTTGAATTAACATAGTCCTTGTGACAATTGTGATGAACTCTTTTGTCCTAGATCACTGTCTACAAGATCGATGAGAAAAATAACCTTGACCTTGACCTAGCCATTCTCAGTGCCTTGCTCAAAGGTGAGACTTCAAATTCTGCCAACAAGTGTACAATGATCCATAATGGGATGAACGAAGTAATGTCTTTAGTCATTATGTTTTTTTTTCCTGCTACTTTAGGGGCTGGCAATGGTGATCCAGGGAAATCCGATTTACTCGGACAGGGTGCCAATCGAATGGATCAGTTAAAACTGGCATTAACGTGGAATAGAGTTGACATGGCTGAAGAAAAGATATTTACTCCTGATGCTGACTGGCCTGTAAGTGATAACATAGACCACGAGAAGCCCCTCTTTTCCACCTTGGTCCATGTAAAGGGCGAAAAACTAAAACAGACCAGTTCATTGAGGTACCAAGGTCTGGGACTATCTGTGGTCTATTGAAAACCTGTAAATGGTTTAGTTTCCTAATACTCGGTAATGGAGTTGTACTAATTGAGACTATTTCAACAAAGTTTCCGACTTGAGGTCCAACTGAGAATTGGATGAAACATCAAAATTAATCCAGGGGTTCATCGTTTTCATTAACACATCTCTATGACTGGGTTTTTGAAACTAATGTCACCCTCTCAGCCATTCAGATTTAACGATATAACGAAGCCTTCTAAGTCTGGTTTTGAAACTACTTTATTAGAGTTGCTTTGTAGCATGATACATAACTGGAGCAAGGTTGTAATAACCTGTTAAGTTGTGTGGTCAACTGTTCTTTTGTTATCAGCTTCAAATAAACTTTGCTAGCACTCAGGCGATTATATTCCCTTGTGGGGCTTTAATTGAATGATACATGATGGCACAATGTCAAATTTGCAATGTATAGCTATTTTTCACGTGTTTCATTTCACTGAGTTTGATCATCTCATTTCTAGAGCGAAAGCCTCGATGATGTCATGCTAAATGCTCTACAGCTGGATCGTGTTGATTTTGTAAGGCTTTTTCTAGTAAATGGAGTCAGTATGAGAGACTTTTTGACTGTTCCAAGGCTAAGGAAACTTTACAATTCGGTAAGTTTATATTTGTAGCTTGTTTTTTTCACAAAATGTTCTGTTACTACCTGTGACTGTCACAGTAATCTTATAGTTCAAAGCTCATTGTGGAATGAAGGGGTCTAATGAAATAAGATTCAATTTGTTACTTCTTTCTGCCAAAAGATGAAGGCTAAAAAACATTTCTGAAGCAAAATTTACAGGAGAAGATGATGAGCAATTTGTACCATGAGCTTGTCCGCTACATTGGAGAAAGAGAAATACATAATCATAGCTTGAGGGATTATCTGTTGTCATTATTTTACAAACTTCGCAGGCAGAACCTGGAAGTCATCTATACTCTCTCCTAAGGAACATTGCTGATGTTTCTGTAAGTAAATCTTAAACTAAACTAGTGAGATACTATAAATACTTTTTAGATAGCTTTGGTGCAGATTTCTCCTGTTGTAGTTTTGTCATGCAGGAGGGCATCAAGATGTATACATGTATGCATGTTTAATGCAATGGAGGGAAAGACCTATTATAGTCTTACCTTGACTAAACGATTGTGGGGTTTAGCTGGCTGGTGAAAGAATCACCTTATGTAACTCTTATAGCCAGTGACTCCTAAAGTCTACTTTGTATGAAACGTGGGGCTTTTTGGATTGCCTTCTGACTGATTACTGCATGACATTAAAGATTTAACAAAAAATGAGTGATATATTTGCCCTTCTGTCTGAAGTTTTATCTAAACTTGTTTTTGTTTGTTTCCTTGTTCAAGGAAGGGCCATACTCCCTTAAAGACATTGGTGTGCTTATCAAAGAACTTATTGGTGCTTATTATGAGCCAATGTACCAGGTTGATACACCCCATGCCAACGCCCTGGCTGCAGGAGTTGCTGGCCTGTTTGGAGTAGCACCTTACACGGGGGATAAATCTGATGGAGAGAATGGTTCTTTGTGCCAATCGGCAAAATTTCAGCCTTTAGATAAAACTTTTGAAGTGCAGAGGGCCTACAATGCCACGCGGTTTGAGAAGCCTTTTAGAGAGCTCTTCTTATGGGCAGTATTAATGAATCGATATAAACTGGCAAGATTCATGTGGGAGAAAGGAGAAGAAGCTGTGTCTGATGCATTGGCAGCGAGTAGATTGTTTCAAGCCATGCATGATCAAGTTGAAGATGACTATTTTGAGAGCAAGAGGGCATTGAAGCAACACGCAGTGTACGTACAATGAAAGGCCTGGATATTCTTGAGTTCATTGTAATATGAAGCTAAATGAAGCATTATGCCACTTGGGTAGATTTGTTTGAGATTTTAAATGGTGAATTCAAGAAAGAGATGGTGGGGGGAGGGGGTGCATGCCCCTCCTTTGTGGACAATGTTCAAGGCCCTTAGGGCAAGGGAAATACGATACTTGGTTGGCCAATGTTATCCAGTTTGTGATAGCATGCTACCTGCATATTTAATGTGTGACCTGGTCTTCATTTGTATGTTTTCCTATGTGCGCATGAAAACCTTGAAGCTCAATGTAGCGTACCTAAATATTTGCCTCAAATTTGTGACCACAGTTCTTACGTTTTAACTCTGTTTTACTGAATTCAATTAGGTTTTGATGTTTAGGGAATGATTTCTTTGTAATTTAGACTGAATACTTATGTAAAACTTGACGTCTATCTTTACTAAACAATTCTAAACCAAATTGTGACTGGTCTCATCATTTTCCAAAACCAAAGCCCTAAAGTCAAATGGAAAGTCATGCTGAGGTTGTAATCGCTTTGTTTTATTTTATTGGCCTTCTTTTATAGTAAAGGTCATTGATAGGTTATTTTTGTATTATGTCAGTGAATTTGAAACGTTAGCCCTTGGTGTTCTTGATGTGTGTTACAACGAAGACGAAGTGTTGGCAGAGATGTTGGTTGAGAGGGAGATACCCAAGTGGGGTGGTATGAGCCCCCTTAGCTTGGCAGCTGCAGCGAAAGCAGAGCAATTCCTAGCACATCCATGCTGTCAATCAAGTCTGAATAGCATTTGGAAGTCACGTGGTATGCCTGGAGTTCAGTACTGGAAGGTATGCAGCTCATTTCCTGTATTGAAACTTTTCTTTTAAGCGTTCTTATGATGTAGTGGTTTTCTTCCGATCATAGTTAATTCAGACAAGTAGTTTTAACAGTCAAGAGCAACGTTAGAAAGGGAGATGTGTTTATACAAAAGTTGTGATTGAATTTAATTTAACGGCTAATTGGTTGAAAAGAGGCACACAGTTTAACCCAAAGCACAGAGCATTGTCAACCTGCTAACCAATACAATTCAAGTGTTGTGTTTACACTTACTACTGCTAAAAAAAATTTATCTAAAGCCATCAGCTGTTCTGATCGTTGATTTGAGCTAACAAACTGATGGCCAATTTAGAATGTTTTGTTTCAGTGCTTAGAAAATGGCAAAACTTATCAACTGAACACACTAGTGAGACAATACCGGCTTAGACAAATCAGCTTTAACTCTCTGTGATTGGCTAAATCAAACTCCACCACTAACTTACCGATCATGCTCAAACGTTAACGCCTGCGTCGCAAGTGGAGGTTGGGTGCCCATGGGCCAGGGGGCTGCAAGCAACTGCAATTACACCGCAAAGCGGAAGAACACCCACAGGCCTACCAACCTACAACCTGGCCACGAGCCCCCCCACGCCCAGCCACGCCCAGCCCCCCACTATAGCACCTGTCACACTGTGGCCAGTAGCCCAGTGGAAGTAAAATGCACAAACCCCTGAAACGAGGGAGAAAAGAATCCCGGAAAGGAGGGGGAGACCCTAAACCAAGAAAGCAGAGGGAGGGAGGGGAACCAAGAGAAACGTTACGCTACTGGAGCGCCACGCCACACCATGCTACGCTAACAAAGCTTTGAGTACAATGCAAACAAAATGTAGGCACATGGCCTGCGCATGTGCCAAAGCAACATACCGCTGGACAGGAATCTGCCCCCATGCTCATGAACAATGGTAAATGCTACAAACGCAAACATAGTTATGCTACAAATGGCCAACACACCACCAAAGAACACCAAAAATACTCGAGACCATAGTTCCTAGTTGTTAACTACATTAAATATAATTTAATAGTATTTACCATGGGAACATAGTCAAGTGCACTTTCTGCTTGTCTCTGCTTGTTTCTGCAGAAGATACGAATTTAGTCTGATTCTCCATCGGATTAAAAGTTTTTGTTGTTATGTGGTTCAACTGGCTTGAGTGTTAATTTAGGACGCTTTTTCTCAAGTGCTCCGTCTAAGGCCTGCAGGAACTTTTCCAAACTTTTCCAATCTCTTTTTAAGGTAATCCTTGCTATTATCTGCCCACCAATGATTCTTAAGATCTTATTCTATGACGACGAAAATCACAGCTGGTCGGTGCCCCTGTGGAAAAAGGTCCTTATCTTCTACAATGCTCCAATAACAAAGTTCTGGTCCCATCTGGTAAGAAAATAAATGTTGTTACCCATTTCTTAATTTACCTAACACGGTTTGAGTTAAGACTTCAACATTTAACAATATTGGTAGTGATTGAGGCTAAGCCCTTTTTGGGGAAGTATTTTTCCGTTTTTGTGGGTAGTAATACATGTAGTAAGTATGAGTTACATAAATCAATAGTCATGCATTTGTTTGATGAACATAATAGGCCTCTTGGCTTGTGTACTTTTAAAAAATAACAAGAGAGTAAGCTGTAAAGCTTCATGAGTTTTAACGCATAATATGGGGTGAAACAATGTCCATTTTTTTTTCTAGTACCCATTTTGGAGGGGCAAGTAGTTGAAATGTTATGGTGTTGTCTGCAGTTGTCTCAGAGTTTTTACTGTGCTTCCTCAGTTTAATGAACCAACCACATTTTAAAGTTAATTCTTCACCTTATCTCTTCTTTTTTTTCTTTTCCAGGGAATGCACTTGTGCTTTTTAGGATTGTATGCTTTTGTAATTTTATTCTCATTTCATAAGTCTTGGCCTTCCATCTATGAAATTGTGCTCTTGTGTTGGATTGGTGTCATAATTATGGATGAAATTAGACAAGTGAGTAACAAAGAACTAAAGCAGATGAATTTCGAACTTGTTTACAGAATTTAGATTAGTTTGAGTTACCTGTAAATATAATTGTACCCTATTACAGTCCTGGATTAATAGAGTCTGTGCCTTGCCTAAGAACACAGTGTGAATAACGTCCCCAACCCATCCATCTTTCTCCCCCCCCTCCCCACCACCCTGTGTTAGGATTTGACCTTTGTAATTTTGTATAGAAATACAACTGGAGTCAACCTTTGGGCGTGGAGTCTCTGTGATTTGGGAGTTGCTATTCCTTTGTTCATGGTTAGGAAAATTTAATGATATATTTAGCCCCTTTGATGATGTATCCTGTTTCCCCCTTCCCTTTTTTAGTTTTCTTTGCCTATTATTCCCTTTTGAGTCACCTGAAAAGCCTCCCAATTATTCATATCCACAGGTCGTGAATCAAGAGACATCCACTTTTAAAAGCAAGTTGGAACTATATTTTAACACCTACGTAAACATTGTGGACACATTTGCGAACGCAATCGCTCTCATTGGTTTTATCCTACGGTTTTTCGATGTCACATGGGAAGCAGCCCGTGTTTTGTATTGTGTGAATTTCGTCATTTTCTCCTTCAGACTTTACAGAGTGTATTTTGTTAGTGGTTACCTGGGGCCAAAGATTATTATGATAAAAAGAATGGTAAGTAGTTTACCGGTGGGTCCTTTTAAGGCAAAACAGAACTTGAACAAACACACTCAAGCAAGGACTACTGAAGTACAAATTATTCAGCCTTCACCCTTTGGCCTTGTTAAAATTAGTTGGTTGAGTTTGTGAGTAAAGGTTCCATTTTGATATATATGTGCACTGAGTAATAAAAATGATGGGATATCAATGCTTATGGTCAACTAGTCATAAATTTCATAAATGATTGGATTCCATCACTCCTTTTCAACCACGGGTATTCAAGCAAAGCACTCGCTATTTCTCCCTTGGTCACATAATCAGTGCTGCGTAGGCATTAAGAGCTGGTCTAGGTTTAGTATTATGCTTTGCATTTGCTGAACTCTTTTACTTTTCAAGCAATGATTTATGATCGTCCCCTCCAGCTGCATGTTGTGATGATTTTTGCAATAATGATCAATATAATTTAGTATTATATTCTTTCGATATTACTGTCTATTCCTATCACCTGTTTGCTGGGTTGTGTATTAGTCAGTAAACCTTCAAGTCATGGTTTTCAACTAGTTATTTAGCAAAAAGAACATTTAGGAGTTTTCAGTTTAGTATTGAGAAATCAAAATCAAAGTAATCACATCAGCCAGTCAGAATTAAGGCCAGGATAAAAATAGGTAAACTGCATGAAGCCCAGGAAAACATGGATGATCAAGTCGTGTCTGGGTTTAGTTTAGCATCCAATTGGTTGATAGGTGCAAGTTTTGTAGGCCTTTTCAGTAGAGAGCGTAAAAAAGCAAAACCGAGGCAGTCCTGAATTACCTTCGATACTTATTTGGAGATTGCACTGAAAGATAGGTTAAACTTACACTGAATTTATCTTTACAGCTTGCAGACGTTATGATGTGGCTTTGTCTCTTGTTGGTGTTTGTGTGTAGTTATGGTGTGTTCAGGCAGGCGTTGTTCTTTGCTAACAAAGAGCCATACTGGGGTGTGATTAATGATCTGTTCTACAAGCCTTACTGGCACGTATATGGAGAGTTGTTTGTTGATCAGGAAGGTAAGCAATTGAGATTCTTCATGTTATTTGTAGAGAAAAGTTTCAATTGATAGCAATAAAATCAAAAACAAAACATATATACAGCAGCTTGCAACACGGGTGTAGATGCAAAGTTGATCCGCTCGCGTCTCTTACTGTGTCTGCAATGAATTTCTGGTACTATGATTTTTGATTGGAAACCCTCTAAATAATTTGAGCTTCTTTACCACATTTGGGACATGTTTGTTCTGCTTTTCAGTTGAGCAAGGCAAGCTTACTACGGGCGAAATTCCTTTGCATGATGGAGAACATCTAAAGTGGATTCATCGCATATTCATGGGTGGATATTTACTCATCACCAACGTGCTTCTTATCAATCTTCTTATTGCTATCTTCAGGTATTATGTCTTATAATTGCAATCACCATCTGTCAATCAGCGACACTGAAAAGTGTTATTTTTATTGAGAAGCTTGTATTTTTCAATTCTTGATGTGTTTCTCTTTTCCTGTCTGTAATTATGCCTGGAAATCTGTTCACAAACCTTGTGTAAGTATGACATTCCCCTTAACGCACAAAATTTTTTTGGAAAATGAAGTTTTAACTCTGTCTACTTGAGCATGTCAAGAGAGTTGGTTATCAGTCATAACACCTAGGCAAGTTGTAGAACTGAAAAACTTCACAAAGCCATGGCCAAAATGTAACGGCTGCCAAGGGTCAGTTAACTGCTGCTTTTTCATTATCATAGCTTCGGTTTAGAGAGGTGGATTGTCAATTTTTTTAAAGAGTTCCACTTGGACGTCTGTGTCATCAGGCCATTTAGAGATAAAATGAATTGTTCAACATTTTGATCAATTGAGTAGATTGTGGTGTCGTCAGCATACATCACAATGGAGCCATCTTCTACTTGATCAGGAAGGTCATTAGTATAAATAGTATACAATCTTGGACCAAGCAAGGATCCTTGAGGAACACCAAATTTAATAGGAAGAGACATTGCTCTCTGATTGTTTACTTCTGTATATTGGTATCTATCAAGTAAGTAGCTCATTAGCCACTGATGTAATGGGCCACAGATGTCAACTGCTTTGAGCTTTAAGGATAGAATTTCATGCGACACGGTATCAAAGGCCTTTTTGAAAGTCAATAAATATGGCCCCAACAATTAGACCTCTGTCCATAACTAGTTTCCACTTTTCTGTCATGGTGAGAAGTAAGTCCTCTGAGGAGCAACCTTTTCTAAAGCCCCATTGGTGTTTACTTAAGAAGCCACAATCTTGTAGATGCCTAGAACAAATCTGGTTTTCTAGGAGCTTTCCAGGAATGCTGAGTAACGAAATTGGCCTGTAGTTTGAAACCTCGGAGAAGGATCCTTCTTTATGCTGCTTCTCTGACTAGTTGTTAGTCTCTTTCTGTCGCAGACTGTTTGCCTCCCAGGCTGCGGTATTTTGTGTCGAATATCCAAGTTATCACATGGTTAGTTTCGCCACTGGGCCAGATGAAGTAAATCCTGTTTTCTAAATGGCTACCTCAGTTACGATCACCCGACATGATTCTGACAAAAACGAAAAATGTCTTGTACCCGGTTACAACTCCTAGGGAACTTTTTTTTTGTCCAAAAAGAGTTTTTTGAACAGTTTTGGCAACAACAGAGTCACAAACACGGCTGAGAAAACAAAGAAAACGTAGACAGTTTCGCCCCCTATACCAACGTGGCACTACAGTTTCTTTATTTTTCTGATTCAATTCATTTGTTCAGTTACGATCACCCGACATGATTCTGACAAAAACGAAAAATGTCTTGTACCCGGTTACAACTCCTAGGGAACTTTTTTTTTGTCCAAAAAGAGTTTTTTGGACAGTTTTGGCAACAACAGAGTCACAAACACGTCATTAGGCTGAGAAAACAAAGAAAACGTAGACAGTTTCGCCCCCTATACCAACGTGGCACTACAGTTTCTTTATTTTTCTGATTCAATTCATTTGGTACGTTCTTTTCTTGTAACTAAGTTTACTAAAATGACCCATTCGTTTTATTTCAGCAACGTGTTTAACGAGGTTGAGCTTCACTCGTATCAGATATGGAAGTACCAGTACTACAATCTTGTTATGGAGTACAACAAACACCCACCTCTGGCTACACCTTTCGCTTTTATTTTCCATCTTGTCGAGTTTGTGCGGTGGCTTGTGAGGAAGTGTAGAAAGCATAATAAAGTCTCTCGTAAGTTGTTTATTTTTGTGTTGTTGTAAGGTTGTGCCGCTTTAGTTTTCCTTTGTAAATATTATCTTGGCACATTTTTTGTAACTTTCTAATTTTTCGTTTTAGTGTTTTTGTCTCTTACTCAATTTGCATATAGACAGGCGGGTAGTTGCACAAATGCCTTGCTCGCTATCCAGCACCAGACATACAAGTATTTAGATAGTAGTGACTATAGCGCAGTGCGAATTTTTACCATGGACTTCAGTAAGGCTTTCGATTTTGTGAACCATGCTATTTTGTCTGCCAAACTGAAACAGCTACCTCTAAATCCGTACATTATCAATTGGTATCATAGTTTCCTCTATGCAAGACAACAGCGTGTTGTTAGTTATAATTTTTTAGGACAGTGGAAACTTGTCAATAGAGGAACCACACAAGGTAGTGTAAGCGGACCGTATCTTTTTAATATATTTTTGAACGATTTGGAGATTTTTTTTAATGGTTGCCCTGTGCTTTTTAAATATGCCGATGATTCCACTATTCTTTCGCCTATCACTAGGAATAGTGACCCGTCTGCCGACTTAGTAGGACAGTTCTTAACATGGTGTAAAGACAATAGAATGGTCTGCAACCCTTGCAAATGTAAAGAGCTGGTTGTTAGAAAGAAAAATCATAATGTACTCTACTCTCCAATTAATAATATTCCCCAATGTAATAGCTTCGTTTTATTAGGAGTAACTTTACAGAGTGATGGAAAATTTGATGAGCATGTAAGAACTAAGCTTGTCAAAGCAAACAAGTGTTTACACGTCCTACGAACATTGAGAAAGGAACATTACTCTCAGGCAGAGATTGATCATCTTTTTATATCGATTGTTTTGGCTAATTTTAGCTATGCACTTTCAGTCTATGGGGCATCTGAGTCCGATCTTACGGTTGTACAAAAATTTTTAGACCGATGTCATGAACGCGGTTTTATCTCATTTCCAGTTTTTATCAAGAACCTTTTAAACAAACAAGACAGAAATATTTTGAAGAAACTAAAATCAACGGATTGCCACCCCCTGAAAGATATCATTCCTGTCCAAAAGACATATCTACACAATCTCAGGAAAAAAGGCTGCGCGCGCCCGAAAATTAATACACAGCGCTTTATGAACACATTTGTAAATAGGTTGATATTTAAGCTCCATTTATTGTAATGATATACTTTTTAATTCATAATATGTATGTAGATTTCTGTAGTTTTTTCAATTCATTGTAACATAAGATATGTAGTTTTATCTTATGATGGAATAAAGACTAAAGACCAAAGACTACTCGTGGATATAGATAAGATAACTATACTCTCATGCAGTGACTGAGTTCAATTTCTTATATGGAGGAGTTTCAACTAAATTATTACAGGACTACCTCTTCAGTTAAAGCGTATTATGTCATGCACACCCAAAAAAATTATTATTTTCTTTTAGCTAAGTTTACTGCAGAGGATCTTGAACTGCTAAGACTCTTTGAAATAGAAAGTGCAGCCAACTATCTACAGCGCATTGAGGAGGAAAAGAGAACTGGTACAGAGGAGAGGGTTAGGAGAACCAGTGAAAGGTGAATTGAATTTTTAGTGGTAAAGGTACTGAGTGGAGACCAGTTTTGTCTGAGATAACACAACACTTCCGAATTCGGGTCCTTGATTTTTTTAATCCCTCGTGTGGCCACAAGTATTTGACACAGGTCTCCAGTTAGTTGAAGTAAGGAAGTACCAAACGAAAATCTTCGAATTGGGTTGGAAATGCCTCAAACAACTTGTCCTGGTTGTGGAAATATTTTCGGAGTGAAGGAAGCAGTGTGGCTGAGTGGTTGAGGTGCTGGTCTGTAATCTGGTGGCCCTTCATCCTGCTACTCCCTGGATTTGTTCTTGGTTACCTTAAGTTCAACTGCTTGGCTGCCCTTTGTATTGAGCGAAATGGTCTGTCTTTTACCATGTTTTTCCAGTTTAGCGGGCCACAAGGTTATCAGTTTGCAACTATTCAGAGTTATCCTGTATAAATTAAGTCCTATTTATTTATTGCGAATAATATTTTGTCAAAGCCAGAACAAAGTGCTCGGATTGCACTGCCCTGATTCACAGAATCTGTTTTGGCATCATTGTATCTCTTATCTGCTCAAAACAATCGATTACCAAAGAGATACGTCATTCATGAGAATAGCTTGTTGTTCATGAACTACTACAGAAACAAAATTGTTCAAGTTCTCGATATAGTGATATAGATTTTTATTTATTACACGTTCTCTCGCAGGGTGGAGCATTTGGTGAAGAAAGTCACGGAATTACAAGAAACTCTTCAACGTCACCTCACAAATACCAAGGGGAGTTTTCAACAGAGCAATCTTAATTCTAGTTAACAGCAATCAATGAGCGAGGTTGGGTGGGTGTTCATAGATATATATATGTTATTCACCAGACGGGAGGTCCGTAGTGGGAAAAACCGGGCCCGAGGTCTTGGATACCGCCCGAGGCCGTAGGCCGAAGGCGGTACACAAGGCAGAGGGCACAGTTTTTCCCAATACGGACCGACTTTGGCTGGTGAATAACATTTTTAATTTTTCTAAGACCTAACAAATGGTTGCGAATAGAACCGCCCGCTGTGAGCGGGCCGGGTGGGGAGAATACTGCCCGCTCTCGGAACCAATCAGATTACAGGATTTGTAGAATACCGCTCGCTCACGAACTGAGAAAAAAATAAAGCGTAGATATCAGTAACGAAAAAGCAAGATATCGAGTTAAGTATTTTTTCCAGTTGCGTCGCTTCGAAGTTGTTTCACTTCAAATCGAAAGTTGTTTTACCACAAATCTAGAGCGACGTATGGAAAGAGAGACTGTTGTGTAAACGTTGCACGAATGAGGAAGAGCTATTCTCTTTGCAGCCACTGTTCGCTCACGTTAACTTATAGATAGCTCAGAAGCGTAGTCAGTAAAGTAGCCAATCAGATAACAGCTTTTGTGATAACACGCAACTAGATTTAAAAGATTAAATTACATCTAGAACATCGGACGTAAATTTATTGAAAATAAACAATGTTAGATATGATATAGGAAAAATGAAACAATTGAATCCGAACTAGTTTAAATCATTTTTGAGACTTCAGATAAGTCACCACACGTCTTGGTGTGTGTTATGATATTTGTCAATCAGGGTTTTAATATAGATATTTACAAGTTTAGACCACTTTCTTCTCAAGTATGTTCTGTTTTATCTAGATGTCACTTTACAAATGAGAATAATCTATTATTCAGCTACACATATACCACACTACTTACCTTATACATTATTAAAAAGACATTATAAAACCATTTACTCTTACCTTCACAACAATTTATTTGCATCCTTCAGTCATACTAGCAAACACACCGTTGAAACAAGTTCAAACCTTTTTGAATAAATAAAAATTGTGATATTTAATTTTATTAGATGGCTTAATTTGTATCTCTCGTTTATATCAAATACACCGCTTTTCCATTTGAACTTGTTGAAATCTGTAATACACAGCATCCGAACCTGTCTCAAATGTTAAGAAATGTATGATTACTTGCTTCTCGGATGTAAAATGGTAACATCACTGCTCTGGGGTCATTGAAAGAGACTGTAGGTCAGGTTTGCTTGAGGAAAATCAACCCTTTCGTGCAAGTTTTGAAAGATTAGAAGAGGCCTAGCATTCCAGAGCTTATCCCGTTTTCCTGGTTTCCTTTAATGAGATGCTAGTTAATTTTGTGCTGCCCAACCCACCACACCCAAGTAGTTTTCCAAACAGCATGTTGTTACGTGAGAGCCATTTTCAGCGGCTGTTTTACATCAAGATTTTTACAACGTTATTTACCTACCTTTTGGTGGTACGGTCGAACCGGTGTTAAGTGGCACCGTATTAAGCGATCACCCTGTATTAAATGGCCATTGTCAAAGTCCCGAATATGTTTCCGCTTAATCACTGTAATGTTAGCGGTCATCTTTGTATACCCCGTGGGTGACCGCTTAATACAGGTTCGACTGTATTTCCCTTTTATTACCCAAGTTTTTTCGAGATGTTCGAGTAGGGCCTCGACCACAGATTCAATTTCGCAGTGTCCACAGACAATGTTTACGTATTACATCACGCTATTCCGTTCTAGTACGTGAAGACCCGTTTCTGGTTCAAAGTTAGATGAAAACAATCTCGATAGCTTCTCTGAAAGCACAAATACCTATTACTTTAGTTCATTTCCCTCATCGAAAAAGGCACAGTTTGAATATACTAAAACTTTACATGATGCAATTCCTAGGTTAGAGTTCAAGGTCAAACGTGCATAGCTCAGGTAAGGGGGAGGGAGGGAGGGCAATATTCTACCTCTTATGGTTGAAAAGGTATGTCACACCCTTCAATATCATTTCTTCTTGCTAATATGACACAGCTTTGAGGCAAGAAACCTCAGGAAATTCAGGATTCAGGAACATGGGGAGATTCAAAACTGTTTCCCAGCCTATGTAGCCCCCGTTATTTGATAATTCTATATAAGTCTTTAATCTGTGTCTTTGAGGATGGTATGGCCCACTAAATTGACCAATCATACTGCATCATACTAACTAGATGTTATAAGAGAAGATTATGAGACAAGAAACCAAGTTGCCCTTACAAACTTTTATTTTTAATAGCAGTATTACCATAATGTATACATTATTTCCCCTCTTTTTTTTTTCATAATACATTTAACTCATGATGAATGTTACAAAAATTTTCCACTCAAAAATGTAAGCAGCTGATGTTTATAATTAGTTACCCTAAGTGACTAATGCTGTCAGGGAAGAGAAAAAGGCCTGCCACCTAGGGCTTGTTTGTAGCTTGCATTTAGCTTTCTAAGTATTGCACTTACCTCTGAGAAGAATTTGCAGATTCAGAACATTGAAAGTCACTTAAAACTAGATAATAAAACCACCCTAACCTGAAAATTATCATCATGGCTACATACTATACTAATGAGTGGAATGGAGTTGGAAACTTTATCAGACTATCATGTACTATGCTACCATTAACATTACACTCTATCTAAATAACATTTACAGCTTTGAATCATATAAAAATATAGTGAATGGATGGTATTATATCACATCTGCAAGAGCCACTGAGCATTAAGAATGAAAATTTAATGTGATGATTCTTTGATTATAAGAAAATTATTAATGCAGATTTTGTTTGTTTAAACTGGTATTTATCTTACACTTTGTGTTCATAGATTATTCCCAATGCAGCTATTTTAAATTCTAACTCTTTTTCTTTGGAGGGTGTAAGAGCTTCTTTTCAGATTCTTCACAAACATAACTGATAACGATAATGGAGATAATTCTCATGTGGTTCTTATTAACTCTAACTTTTCACTTTAGCTAAATAAGATTCATCTCTCTATAATATCACTTTGACCATTTGGAAAGGTGAGAAATATTCAGATACTGTATTCTCAGGGACAGACGCATGCATGTTTGCCATTTCATCCTAAACCTTTGATGCTACATGCAGTTCATTTAATGCATACTTTTCCACTTGTGATTAAAAATTCTTTGCCAAATTACATTAATTTTAATTAAATGAAAAGTAGTTCAGATTATCAAGTCAAACAGAAGGTCTGTCCTCACCTAAAGACCTGAAAAGAATCATCAGAAAATCAGTGGTACATTCCAAACCATACAGAGGAATGTGACATTGGTTTTTGAATATCTGTCTGCCCTTGATCATACTGCTTGAGCCACCAATTTCCCAGTCTTCCTAATGAGTCAAAAAGTGTTTTATACTATGTACTGTACATTTTGCCTCAGGGATTTAACAGATTTGATGGAAAAATTTGCATGAGAGAGCCAAAGAGAGATTTAACTGTACAAATTTGACTGTGGGCCTGTTAGTCTGGTTTGCCCACAAGGGTTGATGCATGTTTGCCAACTTTAGGTTGACAGCATAACAATTTGAAAGAAAACTGTGCAGTAATTGTTGACAATTTTTTGGTAGAAGCCTAAAGAATAATGAGTGATGATCCAGTTCATAAAAACATGCAACTTGAACCAATAAAAATTGCACTGGAGAACAATAGTATTGGTATATTAAGTTCATTTGGTGGATGATGTGACACTTTTTATTTGAGCTGCAACCTCCTTTTGCGTGGCAAGTGTCTGACTAAATTTCTGTTCTACTAAATTAATGGAGGAGATAGCTTGGAAAAGAGATCCTGCAGGAATATCATCTGGTAACTTTGAGAGAAACTGGCCCAGGTGAATGAAATCCATTTCCAGTAGTTCATCTTGGTAAAACTTCAGTATTCCTGATAGAGGAAAAAGAAACTAAAGTTAACCTGAAAATTATCTACAAAGCAAGCCTGCAATTTATTGAATCCTTCACAAATAATAGAAGGAAATACAAATTTATTTAACAAAAACATTTTTTAATAACTTTACCTACATGACTGGAACAATTTATTTTCTAAGAATTGAATATATCTGGTTAGGGTTATGAGGCCTTAAACAATAGGTATTAATGTAGCCTGCACTATTTTGAATGCCTACTCTAAATGTAACTTTCAAGGAACTCAAAACATACAAGATCATCAGTAAGAAACTCACCAAGTGCAGCTCTGAAAAGGAATTCTTCTCCATCTCTACAGAACACATCCCATACTCTAGATGCTATGTCCAGTGGTAATGACTTGCTAAACAATGTGAATGTCCTGCAATAATTTTTAAATAGATCTTGTTGACCTTGTTGTTCCGATGTTTTATTACAACAGTATTTTCTTTGACAATTGGTCATAGCTTATGTGGACAAAGGGTTGTAATACTTAGACCATATACTTTCATGTCATTTTCCCAATTTTTTTTAATACTGGCGGCCATCTTATTTAGGAGTCCATTCATACCTTATACAATTTTGTTTTTAAATAAATTAAAAAAAAAAAAACATTAATTGAAGACATGTCAAATGAACCAGAATTATCATCCATTCTAAAATACAAAATTTAAAGTAATTCTAGATAATACTATAAAATTTAAAGCTACGAAAAAACAGCCCTTACCAGTCAATTAAGTACATATCTGGTGTGAAGTTTTCTTCAATAAAATGTGCATGAACAGAAGGTAGGAACTCTTCTAGAAATATCTGAAATGCTGCAAAGTAAGCTACCATCTATGAAAGAAACAAAAAAATCTATTAATTTTTACTACATTTGTTACACAAGTAATGTCAGTTTAAATAAGATATTTGATCCACAAATAAATCAGATGTAGGGTAGAAATGAAAGTAACCTACTCTTATTCAAATGGGAATCAAGCCCAAAGGTGGAAAAGCAAAACTTTCTGAAAGCACTTACCATTGGGTGATCCACCCTAAAGAATGCCAGCTGACAAGGTTTATTGAGAAGGTTTGCAAAACAAATAAATGCATCAGAAGGTTCCATATTTAGCAATAAAACTGCTGCAAGAAAGGACATTCCCTGAACCTGAAAAGCAGAACAGGGTTCCTCATGAAAATCAACTAATTTAAAATTAACTACTTTAATGTATAGTGACCACTTTTATAAATGTGTCTTTCTCTATTGAAAATAGTTTGATACCTAACAAAGAATACAAATTGCCATCTTTAAATTTGCTATTAATTGAAAGCATTTGTTATTTGTTCCACAACAATGGGACAAGTTCTGTCAGTAAGTTCACAAAAAAAAAAAAAAAGGAAATAAATGTTTTAACTCCAACAAAAATAACATGGGGAAGTCACTTAAGAATTATAGCACTAAAAGCTACTGTGTTAAACAAAAAGCAATGTATAATGACTCACATATCCCACATCAGGTCGATAACATGTGTATGCTCCTAAAATACTATGTAGAACATCGTGGAATGGGCCACCCTTCAAAACAAGATCAACAGAAAGCCTTGTTCTGAGTAACAAAATAATATTTTCCATAAAATATACTGAATTGAGAAAAGAGAAAGTTCCTGAAAAATTTCAAGGCTTCATCAAGATTTGAAAAACAACTTGTGTTACAACAGTGAAATGTACAATCAACTTTTCTATCAAGCCATTAGCACTGAGAGCCAAAAAGTAATTTGTTTCTCTGGATGGTAAATACAAGAATACAGAAAAATACCACATAACTGCAGAACAGTGTGACAGTGCAGAACAGATATATAAAAAGATACTCACTGTAAATCGGCTATTTGTACATTTTTTTGTGTTACTTACATTAGTTCTCTCAAAAATTGACTTGCGTTGTACTTAGATGACACTTGGTGCATATGTGTATGACTATTTCATGGTAATAAGAGTACTTCTGCAGAAGTAATAAATATGCAGGGTAGGACAATTACCTCTTGAAAGATACAGAGTGACGGAAATGTGCGTGAAACATCCATGACAATGAGTTCTACTGTGTGAGCCTTACTGACAACTGGATGGTCACTGGCTGGTAGCTCTGCAACTGTCTGTGTTACATTTTTCTGCTTGTTGAGGCGTGTTGTGAAGAGTTTTTCATATGCATGGGACTGGAATATGTCAAATAATTCTGAAAAAAAGTCACAACACTTAATCAATAGGTGCAGTTGTAAGCAATTCAACTGTTCACTATTGCTAACAAGGAAAACCAACCTTGAGTAATGTGTAAATCATTTCCAATAGCAAGCTTCCACACTTTTCCACGCACACTTGGTGGAAGGCCCTGCCACCAAAGTTCTCTTGTTTTCTTTGCATGTTGCCTGAATGGGGACATGGAGATTATATTCTCACTTATAAATGAATTTATTCTATGTCCAATAAGTGCTAAAATCAAAGAGAAGTAACAAACTTAACTAGCAGTTCATAAAAAAATTAAGAATAATGATCTTACATTGTTTCCCAGTTGGGCAATATTTCATTTGTCCACACAGAAGCAGCAGAGACAATTCCATCTTCCTGTTTACATTTTTCTTTAAGTTTTTTCTCTTGCAGCTTTAAGTCTTTCAGTTCTACAGTTGCAAAGTAAAATCAGGTGTCATGAAGTATTTGAATCAAAGTAATGTCACCTTATGGAGAAACAAAGACCTTGTGGTTAGCAAATTAGAATCTATATTAAGAAGTTCAAGTCCCAGCCCCACGTAGCAAACAAATTTTAACCTGGCCTTTGACTCCCATAAGTGACCAGGACAAAATTGCTCCTTGCAATATCACGACAATATGAAGCAGCAAGTCTTGAGAATAAATAAAAGTATCAATTAGGGGATTATTAGTTCATCCAATACCAAATTCTCCTAACTAACACCACAGGAATTGTATTTCGGACAGTAAAAAGAGTTGTGAGATTTTGAAGTGAAAGTGTTGAGGAAACCTACCAAAATATCAGGGATTATCTGTAAATACACATAGCTTCTTTTTTTAAAATTAATATAGAATCTTACTCATATGGTAAAAGGATGTCATCCATGCTTAAAAGAATACCTCATGATCTAATAAACTCAACATAAAAAATTGAGAGAGAACAATGCCAATTAGAACTTCTTTCACCTTTTTTCTTTGCTTCAGCCACCATAGCTTCATATTGCTTTCTGTGCTTTTTCTCTTCTGTAGGTGACTTAGCTGGAAGGTTGCTGAAATTTGAAAAGATAAAACTTGCTAAAACATATAATGGAAGTTGTCAAAACAACAAAAACATTTTTAAAATTAAATATGGTCCTATCATTGATTCAAAGCTGAGAGTGATTTATTGAGCAATTACAAAACATCCACAAGATAACACCCAAGAAAATGAACTTATTAATCACTAGGGATACATTTATCTAAAATTTGATGACTGAATGAACCATCATACATTAAAGGTTTAACATATGTTAAAGGCACGGCCTCAAACAAAAAAAAAAAAAAAAGAGAAAAAAATTCATTCTGCATAAATAGATATCCCTGTAGGGTGAGCAGGTAAGCAGCTGTTCATTGTAGCTTGCCTACTCTGTGAAGATCAAGTAAAAACACAGTTTGGTCCAATCCCACAGCCCATGGCAAGCTAAATTTTAATTTTACCAAGCCTGAAGTGCAAGACAGCCTTGTTTCAGTTAATCTTTGTAGAACCAGTAAAATTAATTTTTCAAAGCTGTTGAATGAAATTTAACATTACACTTTACATAACATGCTATTTATTCAAGATGCAACTGAATCATGAAAAGAAAACCAGAAGTTATCTTTAAATGATAAAATGGATATTGCATGCATACAATGTAGGATTAACAAAATAAAATTACTGATGCAACTGTATGTACTTTATGAGAATGTGTAAGTTATAATTTATAAACACAACTAACCCTGCCTCTTCTAAGATAAGATGTGACTTATTTATACCTGGGTCTGTTTTCAAAAATAAGAGCTGTAGTTGAGCTGCCTGTTGTCACCTTCCTCCTAATCGAAAGAAATTTGGGTTTGGAGGTTGGAGCAGTTGATGAAGGCTTATCACCAAAAGAACTATGCTTTAAATCTCCTGTAGATTGAAAAAAAAAAAAAAGAAAAAAAAGAAAAAAAAGAAATGGTTACCATTCTAAGCAGTATACATGTACCTAAAGAACAAATCTTTCTGGGACAACATGCTATTTCAGGGTGGCTCCCCTATGAAGACCAACAATTTGCCTTTTGAATTTAGGTTTTTTTTTTAGGTAATCATCTGTATATTCCTGCCCTTACTTAACTATAACTATCCTGCTAATTGACGATTAATCTCTAACCTCTATCAAATGATGATGACTGGATATGAGAATCTTTATTGTTATCCCTTGCATCTTTAGCGGGAACCTTGCCAAATAACTTCCAACCAGGAACAGGTTCCTTTTGAGTTGACTTTGAAAACAGTCCTCTAAAAGAATATACAGTGTACTGATTCAAACTTGTCTTATAATTCATCATTAAAATAGTAGACTCTCTAGGTATAACAAGCACAGAACATTGATAGACAATTAACAGGCAGCCAGAGAAATGAGAATATATGTACAACCTACATCAGTACACACATGTAAATTTAGCAAAGCCTAAAAGTCAAGCTCTGAATGTTATTTCCTTGGCATGTATAACCAATAAAATTAAGCCCCATTGAACAGGGCATGTATTTGTGAATCAATCTCTGTTTTCACAAATTTATTAAAACCTTGGTCAAGACATATAAACAGTGACAAAAATAATCTATAATGAAGGATGAAAAGTCTTTGAAGACATGTACTTAATAAATGATAATTCTATTTTGATCATCAAATTGCTTGTAGAGCATGTTAACCTGATTCCATCATGGAAACTACAAACTAATTTCTTTAATAAACAAGCAAATAATATAATTAAGGATCTGATAATCCTTTTCACGCCTCATAAAGACTACTTGTGGTACAGCAAAATTCCTGCATGCTTTATAATATCATGTGGACCAAAAAGACTCTGAAACTAATTGTTATGTAAAAAGAACTTGGCAAGATTCATAACAAGTCAAGAGCAATTTCCTGTACATCATAATAAATGCATACTTAACATTATTAAAAGGAAAATAAAACTCTGAATAACCACGCAGTCATGTGAATAATGAATGCCAAAATAAAGAAAAGTGGAGAATAACAATCAATAACAACAGGCTACAGTTAATAAAACAAATCTTCTGCAATGTAATTTCAACAAATTATACAAATTAATGGTGTACGTGTGAATAGATCAGAGGTGCAATATACCAGAAATGATGCATTGCAATACAATATACTACTAGTTTGATTAAATGAACAGTATGATAATTGAAATATTTTATTCACATTTTTATCTCAAAGCAACACTGCAGGATGACCATCTTGTACATGCATAATTTAAAAAAAGCGTTTGATCCCACCTTTTCTGTCTGTAATACATATATTATGGTTTACTTTGGAAGGTTTCCCACAATTGTAAATGAAGCAAGTAACTAAAACAGGTTATTTAAGTTTCAAAACTGCAATATTTATCTTCCTTGTTTTTTTTGTTTTTTGTTTTGGACCAATGATGCTTAATTTTGGAAACAAGCTCACTTCTAAAAGCAGCACTGCTTCTAGTTTCAATTTCGTAAAAGCTTATCTTTATATCACCGCTCACCCACACACCACAAAGCGAACCCTGAAATGTATGTGTGACAGTGTACAACGTTGTAACACATGCTGTGCAATAAAAATAACCTCATAAACAACTTACTTTAGTTTGCCCTGCTTTTGTGACTTTTCTTGATCTGTAACAGGAACTGTCTTCATACTCGAACTTGGACTCGGTGCGTAAGTATTAGAGGATTTCGGAATCCAGGCCGCTACTGTTTCATCTATAGCAAATCTAGATATCTGTTGGTACAGGTCGGGGCTAAATTGAGAGTTGTTAAGTGGGATCTCTTCTAGTTCTTCATCTCTAACAGTAGAACTAATTCCACTATCCTCAGTACAACTAGTAACTGATGAACACGCACTGAATTCCACATCACTACTTGGTGACTCTGACGATAAGGCACTACCTTTTTCTAAGTTTGTACTACCGTGGGAGTTCTTCGCATTTGTCCATTTTACAAAATTCTTATCGAGCAGATCATCGGAAGAATTAGCGTTTTGTCTAACAAGGGGGAAAACTTCATCACTGTCCTCAACTGAAGGTTCCCTGCGGTGATTGGAGCCAAGGAGATTTTCTGAAGAATTGTTTACTACAGAACAATCTTGACTCGCTTCTTCACCATGAGGAAATGTACATATATCAGGATTGGTTGATGCTTCGTGCACATCTCCCGAAGATTGTACACTCTCTTTCGCTTTTGTCACCTTGCTGCGTTCTGACTCTTCTTTAATAATAGCGTCACGATTTGTTTCGTGGCAGTCTTTTTGTATTATTCCCTCAATTTCAGGAGACAATTTTGGCATTCGGGCGTTTTGAGATTGTTCATCATCTGTAGATGGCTGGTTTGTCAATAAAGATTCACTGCAATTCGTCTCACCAGATTCATCTTGATCTTCCTCTAATCCATTTGAACCCTCCGTTACGTGTTTAGAGATAACAGCATAGTTCTTCATTGAACTCAACATTTTCGCAAAGCAAATATTCCTATTATGAGTTTTTCAGGCACCAAACGCCTTACGCTAGAGTCAAATTCAATTCCGACGAATATCCATTATCTTTCAACTCTCGTTCTCCTCTGCTTTTCCGAAAAGACTTACATCTCTGATTAAGCTGCAATTGTTCTCTTTTTCCTCCGGACGCTGGGTGACAACTTTTAGCCGGGATTATATAAGCGGTACTGCAGTGTGACATCGTATCAAGAGGTCAGCATTAGATTCCATCCACCAAAACCACCTTGGTCGAGAGGGACTGAGATGGAATGATGGACAATTCATGACTTGTTATACTAAATGAAAATTACGAAGCTACGACAACATGCCGACTTATCCCGATGACCTAAGTGTATCATTTGTTTGGGAAATTGCGTCAAAACTTTTTACTCAAGAAATGGTAAGTATTAATTTATTGTTCGATTGTAGTATTATAAAACATTTTACGCAATTTTATGCAGATATTTCACGTATTTAAAAGGTGCCCAGATGTTACGTAGTTTTGGTGGATGTCATTAGGGAACATCCACCAAAACTTTGACCAAAACCATCAACAATATATGTTTTTAATTTGATCTATAGCCACTGTTAGATGTTCAGGGAGACAAAAGATCTAATTAGCAGTTAGTGCTCTGGCTAATTATTTTTTATGGTGCACAATTGCTGACCGACCAAACGTTCATAATGATTATCATAACTCTTAACACATAAAATAAAGTGGTTTTGGTGGAAGTTTCTCTCCATCCACCAAAACCACCATAGCAATTTCTGCTACTTCCTTACAGAAGACTGATGTGACCTGCTATTTGGAGTACATAACCGCAATCTATTTCTTTGTATGTAGAGATATTTTGCAAAGTTCTTGAGTCAGCACCTTTTATTATTGAAACCATAATCATAACATGGTGCACAATATAGAATACAAAAGGTTCTGGTGTGGTAATCATGTAATCTTGAAACAGGAGAGTTTTTAACTGACTTAAACTGATTTAAACAGACATTTGCAACAAAATTCCAGGTCCAGAAATTTCTTCCACTATTTCCGCTAAAATCATAACCTTTAAGTACAACAAATCAGCACATTAGTAATTGTTATCAGGGGTCTGGAAATCCTATAAATCTTTCACATTTATTTCAAGTAACCTTTAATTTCACACGGATGAATAAGTATATGCTCAAGATGCAGAATGTCTTACATTTTACAAACTATTTCCCTTTTTATGGATAGACAGTGAAAGGCCTTTGCCATGTTGGTGAATCAAACCATTGTATACCATGCATTTTGTGATAATTGTTTGTTTTTGCTCACAATATCCAGAAAAATGGAGGGGATAAATTTAAATAGCAAATTCTATTAATGGTTAAAATTAAATAACATTGGAAGATCAAATTAACTTTGTACTGTTTAAAATTCAGTTTTGGTTTCTTGCTTATTCCAGCCTCTTAATATTCAAAAGCATTCCTTGTCAATTTTGTGTTCTTCTGTGTACATAACGTGAAAAATAAACACAGAGAAAGGAAACCACAAAGGATTAAACTTGAAGCTAAAGCAAAGTTTAAGTTGAGCCATAGCTGATCCAAATACTGAGCACTTTGTATTGTAACCCATTTAGCTGTAAAGTTTATCTATATGTCTGCCAGCTTGTCACAAGTCTTACCCCTCTCCTTCAAAAGTCTCTATAAATAAATTTTTCTTTGTGGTCCCTAATTGATGATAAGTATATTACAGCTCCTCAATTTTCCTCTCTCAAGACAAGGTTGCTCTAAATTTAACAAAGTAATGGACTTGATAAAACTCAAACTATAACTCAGCTGGCTGCTACTTGCAACCTTAATTTCTAGATATCAGTATACGATAATCAATATGTTATAAATAAGAACCCTAATGCTTAATTTTGCAGTGATCACCTTCCTCCTTTTCATTTGCAGACCAGACTGGAACCTCTATAGGTGTGTTTGCTTGTTTTGAGTGGGGATGGAAGAAAAGGAGTCATGCCGCATATCTGATTTATTAAATTGCATTTTTTCTGTTTATACATGAGTAGAACTACCTTGTTCTCTGAAAAAATAAAATTTCTCGCATTTTTATCTGTGCTTTGCAGTCAAACTTCCTTGTGTCTTGGACAAGAAATCTTATTTTCTTGAAAACAAAATCTTTGTTTCTGGCCTTCTGTAATAGGTAAATATAACAGTGTAAGATGAGTGACAGTGTATTTCTCAAGTTATTTTTTGGAATGTGACAAAACGGAAATGTCATAGCGTGATAAGGAGCAAACATATGATTGCTTGATAGAAAGCAAAAAATGCAGAATTGCATATATTTTCTCCTTTGTCAGCACCATATGTTAGTGAAAAGTTCTTATAATTGTTAACTTCTAAACCATCTTCAATTTAGCCAAGATTGAACTGTTATCACGTTTGTCATAAAAGTATTCTGAGATCAATGTCATATGACTCATTCAAGTATTTGACCTTTCGAATTAGCAAGCCATAGTTGACAGAAACACAAAGGTTGAGGATAAAAAGAAATTATTATATACAGTACTTCTTCTGCATCTTTTCGTTTCCTTTTCTCTCCAGCTGTTCTATCTATGCCGTGCTGGCAATTGAACACTTTCCTTCCCAAAATTAGGAAAGGCACACCAGTAAAAAACGAATTTTTGCTCCTTAAATATCTCATGCATCTTCCCCCAGTATTTTGTGACTTCTGACCGAGGAAGGAGGTGTAAGCATTAAATTAACCCGAATGATTCCACAATTGTGGTATCATCCAAGCCATGCCAGAGGACTTGAACTAGATAAACTAGTGAGAATGCACAATAGCGATAGCAAAGCTTTGTAATGCTAAAGAGCTATATCAATATATATATATGTGTTCCCGAAACCTTTGACAGCTTTAAAGAAAGAAAACTTCGTCGTCAATCCTGTTTCAAATTCCGCAATAAGTTTATGCGCCTCATCAACAGAATTTACGTATCCTAAATTATCTGCATGTCTACCATCAATGGTTCGCGACTTGAAATTCTCGCTATGCTGTTTCTGTTTGTTCCTCAAGAATCATGGGATTTACAGCTTCGGATGTTCGGCTACATCACTTGCGGATTTCCGAGAATCTTCGGTTATGTTTTGCAAGTCATTAAATATTCCATCTCAGTCCCTCTCGACCGAGGTGGTTTTGGTGGATGGAATCTAATGCTGACCGTATCAAGAGTCACCCGCCATGTTGAGTTTACAATTTCGTTGATTATAACTCCCAGAATGCAAAGTCTCGGTAGGCTCCGGAAATGTCGGAGGTCTTCGGTTTGTAACCGAGAGCATTTCGGAGTAAACGTGGCGGGCAGATCGAATTGAACTACTACGGAACAAAATGCAAGAAGACAGCCCAGGTAGCAGGGGAAAACGCACAAGAAATGAACGTTACAGTACACCGACAAAGCCAAAGCAGTTGTCTGTGAAAGCTGCACGGCAAAAGGCAAAGGAATTTGCCACAAAAGATGACAAGTCTACTCGTGTGTTGGCAAAGCAAGCCATATTGAAAGAACTCAGTACTCAACTTGTTGTCAGAGCTCACGGTGTTGTTCCAAAAAATCGAAGTGAAGAGGAACACACTAAGGATCATCCAGGTACAATGGCAGAAAACATGTTTCATTTGAACCAAAGTGTTTTGGCTGACATATGTTTGGCGGGAAATTTGAATATTGTATGAGCCAATGTCATGCTTCCATATTGTTCTTTACTCAAATTTCATTTGCCTTTGTCACGGGCTATGGTAACGTGCGACAACGAGTTTCATAGAAAGAAAAACATAATTTGAACCTATGATGAAACTGAACCACTACTGTAAATCGGGTACATACAGTACTCATGTGATATCTATAGTAAGTCCTTGATAGCCAGACCAGTCTGAAACACATGAGATAATGTGTGTGAGGGTATTTTCAGCCTTGTGCTTGATGGCTTCTTTCCCTTTTTCTTTCTTTCTTTTTTTTTTTTCAAAGCAGACATAACAGACCATGGTAAGATTTCCGCAAGTCCCATACTATTGTAAAACAAATCTGTTTTCCCAATGGCAATCTATTGTTTTTGTTATTGTTTTCTCTATCCAAGAACTGAATGCATAATGTAGTATGGGGCTGTGTGGAAATTTCACCCAGATTATTTCTTTGCACTTTTTTCCAGTGCATTTGACATTAAGCGATACAAAGAAAGAGGAACTGAAACCAGTTAAATCAACGTCCAAGATTCCAAGGTAATGATTTATCACCAACAAGGATACTCAACTGTGATATTTTTTGTTGTCAAGCAGTTACTACAAAGTATGAGAAGTGGCAGAGACACTCAATAAGCGGGGAGAAATGCATGGTTTAATTTACAACTGCATTTCTTTTGAGTTACCACTGCTATGAAGGTACTTTATAATGTATAGTCATGGGTTCTCTATTTGTTTAATTCTTAAACTTCTTGTTTAACTGTCAACAGAAGAGTGGATGAAGCTTATACCAGTATACGAAACAAAAGACAAGCAAAATCTGTCACACAACCTAAAAGGAAGATTCCTAAAAAAGAAGCAGGTTTTGTTGATAAAAGAGACAACCAACATGAAGAAAGAAGGAATAGGTATACAATATAATTATTATTGATTCTTCACTATTAATTGATCTTTGTGCTACTGAACTAATCATCAATTTTTTTTGCACTTTGAATCATCATCAAAATATTTTTGTATCTATAAAGGTTTTTAGCTAAGAAGTATCTATTGATCTGGGAAAAGAAGACATATGGAAGATTAACTCCAGCTACAGCAAGGTAACAGGGAGCTAGTTTATTTGCAGTAACTTCCTACAGCACTTGGTAAACCGATGATTGAATGTTACTTTGATTTTTTATAACTTACTGGACAGTATTTATTTACTGTATACATGCACTATGTGGTTAAAACTTAGTTTCATTGCCATTATTGGATTTGGAATGAAATTTTTGATCTATTTGTACTCCTGAAATCTGAAATAGGACTGATTTTTAGCATTAATGTTCTATTTCTTATTAGTTGGAAAAAAATGCAATTTTAAGAAAAAATATGTGCATTTATTTATAAAATTAGATCTGTAAACCAATCGTATTGCGAGGATCAGTAATTATATCAAAATGGATATATTGAATATGAATTATCAAATAATGCTTTTGAAACAACTTGAGGAGAACATTAG